TTCTTTTTATCATTTTATTGGGGTTCATACAACTCTTATCACAACTCATACATATACATCCACTGTGTCAAGCACATTTGTACATTTGTTGCCATCATCATTCTCTAAACGTTTTCTTTCTACTTGAGCCCTTTATATCAGCTTCTCATTAAAAAAAATCATTTTATTAGGGGCTCATACAACTCTTATCACAATCCATACATACATCAATTTTGTAAAGCACATTTGACATTCATTGCCCTCATCATTCTCAAAACATTTCCTCTCCACTTAAGCCCCCGGCATTAGATCCTCATTTTTCCCCTCCCTCTCCACTCTCCCCTCCCTCATGAGCCCTTGGTAATTTATAAATTATTATTTTGTCATATCTTGCCCTGTCCGACATCTCCCTTCACCCACTTTTCTGCCATCCATCCCCCAGGGAGGGGGTCACCCTTGTAATCGGTTCCCTCTTTCCAACCCACTCTCCCTCTACCCTCCCAGTATCACCACTCACACCACTGGTCCTGAAGCTAGGTCTAACTAGAACAGACCATACCAACTGGCAGGTTCTGAGGATGGTGGGGGTGATGTCTCTCCCTAGACAACTTGCTTTGACTTCAGTTTTCTATTTGCTGCCTCAGCAAACAAGGCCTTGGGTGGTACAAACAGCATGCTTGGCACCTAACAAAAAGTTGGCGGCACCCAACTCCCCGTAGAGGCATCTCCAATAGAAGGCTGGCATTCTGCTTCTCAAAAAATTAGTCACTGAAAAGCCTATGAAGCGTCAGTCTACTCCATAAACATGGAGTTTGGGCTATGAGTCAGACTCAATCAACAGCAAGTGGTGTTTTAAACCTGTAAGCAGTGTCCATAGTATCTGGGATTCATGGTGGGCAGGCCAGGTTATAGGAGGCTGAATAGTCCATTTGGTTTGCTCCCTTATCAGGCTTATTGTACTGCCTGGATTCTGAGTACTGACCTTACCTTTCCCCACATGGTGTCTTGCTTGTCAGCGTGAGCCTCTTAAGGTGCCAGTGCAGCAGGCTAGCCTAAAAGTCCCTGGTGTCATTCTACCTGAACCTCTCTGGGATATGTTTAGCACCAGAGGGTGAAGTTGCTCCCTTTCCATTCTGGCCTGTGGGAGAAGGGAGGGGGCAAAAGCTCACTTGGCCGCAGCCTGGGAGGGATGTGCTGTGGGCTTCCTCTGGTCTGAGCAGATGGACCAGAACCTGATGAACCCAAATTCACTGCCCACTTGCAGAGCAAATCACGGAGAAGCAATGCACCCAAGCTAGTGATTTTAAGGAACTGGGCAGAAGCAGCTTGGGGCAAAGGCTCTACTCTCCTGATGATTAAGCAAAACCACACGTTGCAAGGAATAGGCAGAAGTTGGAGTAGAATCTGAAACGGGTAAAGAAACTGACTACAGGCAATAACGATACTAGAGGCTAATGATTCAGAACACCAAATTCTGTTGTCCTGAGAAGAAACCCGAAGCCAGCTTCTGTAACAGTCTGGCTTTATTTAGCCTTTCAAACCTGGATGGAGCACAACCCCCGTCAAAACCAAGTTTCCACAAGCCGGCCACTGACCATCAGATGCCCCGGCATTGTGACGGTTCAGTACTGGCCACCAGCCAAAGGCAAATTGAGAGCTCCAAGTCACCCATCATGCTTTAGCCACACATGAGGCGAATGCCCTATCTCTTAAAAGCACACAAAGGGCCATTTAAGCAGGAAAGTCCCACCAAATTCGGCGGAAACACGCACCCCACAGTCGGATCATGTTTCTGAATGACAACTTGGTTTGGAAGGCACAGCTGTTGTTGCGATCCCTGGACACAGCCTGCTGTTCTCTGTGGAAGCCAGGGCAGATTAGTGTCGTTAATTTGAGAGGCAGCAAATCCCTCCTGGCTGCCCCTTCCTCCAAATAGGCAAGCTGCTGGGAGCCCGATGCTGGTTTTCACCCGCTCCAAGAGACAAAGCGGCTTTTGGTTGGACGGATTGTCTGGCTCTAGGAACTCTTCTCTGGGGCTTGGTTTCATTGAGTCAAAAATAAGAATCGGTTCTGACCCCTGCTGGAAAGCCCCCTAGGGAATCAGCACATAGCATTTCCGGTTCCTGGAATGGTAATGACTAGGAGAAGTGGACTTCTCTGAATCACCCTGCAGAAATGCGGCTTTTAGGGAGTTCCATGAAACATGAGACACGGACCGAGGACAAATCCAGGATCAGGTTTATGCCTCTAATAGCGGTGCTTTTCCAATTGTTGCAGGTTGCAGGAGTTCAGCAACAGCTGCAGATTTAGTCCTTGTTCTTAGCATAAGATGTTGTCGATAGGTACAAACATGATTGAGATACAGCCGTCAGGCTATTTTTTGCCTTCAGTGAATCCCAGTGGCTGTATTCTGTGAAGAAGGAAAGCCATTGAATCACTGAAATAAGTCCATGGAATACTGAACCCCTGCAACTTTCAAAATTCGGATCAATATTGTTGTTGAAGAGGCCTCAGAGTCGTAGCAGTGCAGGAGATTTTAGGGTTAACAGGTACTTCCTGCCTTTTGAAAGTTCGCTTTAGAGGGTCAAGGACGACGTGGAAGCCCCTCAATGGATGAAGTGGCACCGTGACTGCATCAGTGGGTTGAGACATAGGTATGATGGTGAGGATGGCACAGGACAGGGTAGGGTTTTGCTCTGCTGTACACAGGGTCATCCTGATTCAGAACCTGCTTGACGGCACCTAACAGCAACGACGCACAACACATGTAACCTCTATTTTATGACAGACTTATGCCTGTTTTCATTTATGAAAGAAACTTGAAGAAGATCTTTGCTTGAACAAGAAGGAGGAGAGAAAAACAAAACTAGAGTTCCACATTTGTTGTTCAGCAAGTCATTTAGAGGGAGCTTGTAGTCCAAGCCAGACTGGTGTGGCCACACTCTCCCCTGGGAACAACACTCAGCATATCACTATCAAACCACTACAGTTTAGAACTGAGTCTGTGAAGACTGTATGCCAGTGCTATCTTAGGTTTTACTTGTTTTTTGTTTATTTTGTTTCCTTTAGGTGTTATATGGTATGATTTGGGGGCGTGTCTAGAGGTACTAAAAAAAGCCCCATGTACATTAATGGTAATTGCGTCTTCATTTTATGCTGTTTGGAAAGTAGGGGAAACTTGTATTGTTTAGAACCATCATGATCCCCTTCTGCCATTATTCTTGGCTCTCTGTGTGTCAGAACAGATCTCTACTCCCTAGGGTTTTGCAAGGCTGGTTTTTCACAAGGATCACCCGGCCTTTCTTCCAAGATGTCTGTGGGTGGGTTCAGAATTGTCACTCTTTAGGTTAGAAGGAGCACACTTAACCATGTGTGCCACTGGGGCTTCTCCATCGAGCCGATCTATTTGTATATAGATTGAATAATTGATTACCGTCTTTCTGTTAGAATAAACATGAGCAACTCTTAAGGGAGGAGTTAAAACATGGGCTAAAAATGCATGGCCCTCCTGGTCAGTCCTGACTCAAATAGCCCCAAAGGATTTCAGCAATGTTAAGCCAGGCTTGAGGGTATGACCTGAGGTGATATTTTTATTAAGAATTTCTTATGACTGGGAACTCAAAGAAGGAAATTTGATTACACTCATATAAAAATACAGCCATCTAATATTATCAATGGCATTTCCTTTTTATAGTATTTGGTGCTAATAATAGCCCCCAACTCCTCAACTCAACTTTTCAGCTTTTTAAAAGAACAGTGCTTTTAAGAGTCTGAATTTCTGTGCCTACTGGATTTATTCCATCCAGTGCTTTCCGTGGCTTCCCTGTTGGGAGGCTAAAGAGGCTCTGTGCATTTCTCAGGACCTGCTGAGGGCCCCCTAGCAGCTGAGAGTGAACAGCGGAGAGGGCCTGAACTCCTAGCAAGTGAGGCCTGGCATGTGAGGCAGGTGTAGGAGATTGGCCAAGACCTTTTTCCTGGAGAAATTAGGATGTAGTCTGATTATCAGACCTAGGTTTTAGGGAGGTGAGTGTGTGTGTGTGTGTGTGTGTGTGTGTGTGTGTGTGTGTGTGTGTGTGTTGAGGGGAGGTGGGCGGGGAGGTGGGGGTGAGGAATGGGCTCCCTTCTCCAAAGGATTGTTGTCCTAGTTTGCAAATGAAATATAACAGAAATACCACCGTAGGTGGCTTCAATAAAGAGAATTTGTATTTTATTCTCTTACAATTTAGGGTGCCAGAAGTCCAAATTCAAGAGCTCTCCGGGAAGAAGGAGTTGAGCATAAGATCAATCTGGAGAGAAAAAAAAAAAAGCTCAAACTGTGAGATGCGGTTAAGTCACGAGCTGGGTAGCATCAAATCTGAAGCCAAAAGGTGCTCTGTAGAGGATCAGCAGTGACCGGCTTTTTGCGACAAAACCCAGAAGTAAAATAAATTAATTTCTAATTGACCCAAACATTTACAACTGATATACTGCCTGAATCTCATTGGTCAATGAGGGTGATCTGATTTACAGGAAAGCTAGGGTTAAGTTTGGACAAAGACGAGTCTTAGGGACGTTGTCCACAAGACCACCCTTGCCATGTTGCCAGCCACAGGCCCCATTTTACCGTCATGTAACAGCACCCTTGTCCTTAACTCTGCTTCTCTGGAGCCCTTCCCAGCATTGCTTGGAGGTCCCCCCACCCCCACCCCGTGGCATCTAGCTTTCCCCCAGGTAGGCTTCCATACTCCTGTACCAAATAGACTCTCTTCACATTCAGTGTCCCAAGTTCCAAAGCTCATTTTTAAGCATAAACATTTGAGATACTTATAGTAACCACCTGCTTTAAGTGCACATACAGTTCAACAGATTTTGGCAAAAAGGGGTGCTCACATACCCATCACCATAAGCAAGATTTAAAATATTTCCATTACTCCAGAAAGTTCTCTCCTGCCCCTTCCAGCCAATCCACTCTCACAATCCTGTCCTCTGACAACATTCAACTTCTAGAAATTCTGTTTTATATTTTTGTTTCTTATTTTTTTTAAGGCACTGGCCTTTTAAATGCATTCAAAAGGATGAATGCGCCTTTCGATGCAGAGAAAAAGAACAGGCCTTGCTTTAGCACAGCATCAAAGCCAAGAGGACTGCAAAGCAAACTCGGGTGTTCACTTGGCAATGGAAATGCCCTGTTCCTCTTAAAGTCATAGAGTGTATGGTATCTGGTTTCTTTCCTCTTTCACTCGGCATTAAGTTTCTGATAGTTCTTTTTCTCTGCTAGCTACTACTGTTTGAATGCAGTGCAATCTGTCCAGTCATGTGAGTTGCTGCCAGGTTTGTTATAATGATTCAGGTACACATCTATTTGGGGGTACATGTATTCATACTTCTAGGCATCGAACTGCTGGATCATCGGAGAAATCTGTTTCACTTCAAAAGCGACTGCCAAAGGGGGATGTCGGAAGGTTCTGCGTGATTCACACCCTCACGAGTATTCGGCATTGTCAGTCTTCTTGAGCTTAGTCATGCTCAGTGATGGAAAGTGGTATCTCGCGGTGGTTTTCATTTGCATCTCTTGATAAATGATCATGTTGTGCATTTTAACGTGCTTATTGGTGAGTGCTATGCCATCTTTTGTGACAGTTTGATCAAATGTTTGGTCTATTTTTTAATGGGTTGCTGTCCTCTTATTACATTTTAAGAGAGTTTTTTCTGGCTACAAGCTTGATATTTGTGTTGCAACTGTTTTCTTCTAGACCAGTGGTTCTCAACCTGTGGGTCGCGACCCCTTTGGGTTGAGAACCACTGTTCTAGATCCTGGTTTGCCTTTTCAGTGTTTTAGCAATACCTTTTAAAGTAATTATTATTTTGATGTGCTGAATTTTTAAGATAGTTTTAGTGACATATAATTCACATATCATATACTTCAATAGTTCAGTTATATTAAAGTGAGTTACATAAGCATCACTACAATCAATTCTGGAACATTTTCTTTCTTCTTGTACTTATTATTATTAACTCCCCATTGTCCCTCCAACCTCCTCTCCCATATTCCCAATAAGCTATTAATCCAGTTAGTGTCTCTATGGAGTTACCTATGTGGGGTCTCATATACTGGAAAACATACCAACCAACCAACAAACAAACAAAAGCAAAAAAAAACACCCAACAACAATAACAAAATAAACCAGTGGAAAGCAGCAGGAAATATTAAAAACTAGAACAAGTTCTAAATGGGGTACAAAGGAGATGAAATGATAAGGTATTACATTTTAACCTAACTACATGTGCCTTAATCCAGGTTACAGTGCTCTCTGTCTGAGAGCAAGGCTAGTCACATCTCTTAATTAAGGCCCCAGGAAAATGGGTTTGGGGCTTTTACTGTCATCCATAGCCTTCTGCAAACTAGGTGTTCTCAGTTTAAGCTCTGATATAATTTCCTTCTTTGTATTTGGATTTTATCATTTATAAACCTTGTATCACATAGATTGTTGTGTTTCTTCATGAGGACTTACCTGATGCCGCATATAGATGACTTGTTTTAGGACAAGCTTTTAAGACCCCAGATGCTATTCTTTTTGATAGCCAGGCACCATCTGCTTCCTTCACCACACTTTGATAAGGCCAATTTTTTTGTTGTTGTTGTTCAAAGAAGTATGCTGTTTAATTTTTAGACTCTGAAGCAATGAACTGACACAGTAGCTACAACGATTACGTTCAAATACAGCAACAATTGTGAGGGTAGTGCAGGCTAGGCAGTGTTTTGTTCTATTGTGCATAGAGTTGCTATGAGTTCAAATAGACTTTGTGGCATCTAACAACAACAATATATTTCTGATGTAGTGACTCTTTTGACACTGTGAAGTTTCTTTGTCTTTTTTTAAAATCATTTTTTAAAATCAGTTTTATTGGGAGCTCTTACAGGTATAACATTCCATAGTTCAATCACAACAAGCAGT